AATAGGGTGAATACATCTCATTACACTGATTTACTGGTAGTCTCGAAACCCTACTTACTTACGAATATTTTGCCGGTTAGTCTGCCCTCCAACCACTTCGTCCAACTGGTACAGCCAAAGCCAAAAAGACAATTTAATTTTGACGCTGGAATCGAGCTAATCTGCCCAGTTGACTGGGCTTTCCTCCTGATCGCGGCGCACCTCCGAGCGTCTTGTCCGAGCTCCAATCCAGTCTTCCCTCGTCCAGCTCTTCTTCCGTCGGCGTAGTGGGACCCAGTGACAAAGTGCCCGGTGCCGGGGGTCATGACCGATGACGACAAAAGAGCGAATGGGTAAGAGGAGTCGGGACTGGCCGAGGGGAGGGTCCCTCTGGCGTACGGTCCCCACTTTGGCACAGTCCAAGTCCGGCCGACCAGAAGTCTGCGAGTGATGCAACCAACGCAAATATTTGGGCCAAATTGTTTTTCTTGTTGTTGCTGTCGCGGCAACAGAGTGTGGCGCTCCTCCGGGCCCCGAACTGCAGTCACCAGAATCTCTGGGTTGCATCCAAGTGGAAGGCCCATTTCCTCTTTTTCAGGTGTCTACTCGCCAGAATTAAGGCATAAATATGACCACACTTTTCATTCTGCAACTGTGCACGTGTGATCGTATGTTTACCAAAGAAGGAAATTTGAGAGGAGGTGGCGCCCGAGATAAAGGAACTGAGGAGTGGAGGCAAGGGGGAGGCTGAGAGGAGGATGTCCAAGGCTGGCTGTGGTCATTGCTGGATTTTCAGTGATAGCCGGGCGAAAATCTAATTACCCTTGTGACCTATAAAGTAAACTGATGTAGCAAGTTGTTGCTTTGATGAGGCAGCTTTTTGCTCCGTTTCCTTTTACTGGAAGAACGCAGGCGAGAGAGAGCATTAGAAGAGGGAAGAGCAATAAAACAATCGAGTGCTGTAAAGCTGTGCAGACAAAACCGCACTGCCTTCGGAGGAGGCCGCTTGAGGAGGGTCAGAGCGAGTTGTTTGCGTGAGCCTCAGACGAACGACTGGGCTTGGACAGGGAAAAATAAATTCAGTCAAGACTAGACGAGGTGGAGGTTGCCTGGCCGACCGGTGAGACGAAGTCAATTCCTTGAGGACGAATGAGGCAGACGGGATGAAACGAGCCAAGCGAGTCTGGCATGGAAGAGAGGAGGAAAATGCCAGTTTACAGGTACTCGCGACTAGCAACAGGAAGAGGACTGGATTTGCCAGAGCATGCATGGGGTGGGCAAGGCGCCCAAAGAAAATGCCTACCTGGACACAGTGTTATAGGGACTGGCAGCTGCCATACGTGCCAGCAAGGCCTATCTGTCTGTGTGTGTATTTGTATGTCTGTATGTCTGTGTGTGTGTGTGTGTATTGTGTGAATGCATTCGGGTAGCATCCCGTCAAAGGGCATGTGGATAGTCGGTGGAGCCATCGAAAGGATCTTTATGATGACTCGTGGTTCTTCTCAACTCTGCGTAACGGGACTCGGGGCCAATTTGATCAGAGGAGGCTGATTTTCAGACTGAAACGCGTCTTTTTTGTCCAGCAAAAGCGATAGAATCGCATTATCCTAATGGCTTTGAAAGACATTTTTACTTACTTGCATAGTCACCAAGCCTATGTCTTTGGTCAGCCATCGCAATTTACATCTGAGCCTCCAACATCATAATAAGAAACAGCATCAATACCATTTTTTCGTAATTCAATAGGCTTTCGAGACTACCAATAAGTTATCATTTTAAACGAAGTATGGTGAAAACAATTCATAGCATCATTGCCAGTTTCGGAGCGATCAGTCGGCTCCTCAATGACAAGTCGAACCGACTACTTTAACCGATTTGTCCGCCCTTCATTGCCCACAACAAACGGTAGCCTTCTCCTTTCGTCAAACTGGGCACGAAGAAACGCTCTAGTTCAGGCGGAGAAGAGATGAGAATAGTGAAAAATGGTTGGCTATGAAATAAACCAGTTTGAAGAAACACCAAATAGCACATGACTGAGACTGAGTGGGTGTGTGTAGGTGTGTGTTTCACAGGAGCTATATAAGTGGAATTGTTTTGTGCTGGAGGGTATGGACTATTTGTTGCTTTCCTAGTTAGACACAGAATGATGGACAGAGCCATGCAGGCAAATATTCGGCGGGACACATAAAGGGAAAGAAGATGAATATTTACCTGTTTAGTATTTGTTGATCCAGTGATGCCGTAATTAATCAAGAGGCTACATGTGACCCAATGTATAACAAGTTACTATGATCCAGAGCTATCCTAAGTATGTTCAAATTATATAAATACTGAAAATTGTATACTCCGCATCAAAATGATTGATGGCCTTACACCAAAAAAGGCTGTTTTACCGGGTTTTGAAGTTGCAACGTACATATTTCCATCCAGATTTATTGCATATACGGATAGATAGATAGAATAATCTTAGCACATTTCATCAACATCCATATGGATCTTTTCTGACCTTTATACACTAACGAACACACAAGCACATACACACACGCATATTTATAAATCTTCATATGGCAAATACAACTCAAGTCACTCCATGCTCCATAAAATTG